AAACCCACTCTGAACAGTTTTTAAAAAGCAGAAAGCAGCACCTTCCTTTACTAGGCATCCTGAAGCCTCCTCCAATCGCACACTGTCTAACTGCTGGGGCAAACAAGCTACAAAGAAGTAGCCTCTTCGCCACCAACAGGTAGCAATTTGAATTTCCCGCCTTTTTCTCCAGCAAAATTTTGCTGCCGGGACTGGTCCTAACTCGAAATGGTCATATGTTGGGACGTTCGTAAGTCTAGGCACCACTGTATATGTTAAAGAGATGCTGCTAGTATTTTAATTGTTCTCTATCTGGCTTCAGTTTTAGAGACCAAACTTTTGGTGGGTTAAGCGGAAATGTTCTTATGGAGAAAGCTTACTGGCCCAGAAGTAGGAAATGTTTTAGTCCTTTAAATGTTGTGGGCTTCAGCTTGGAGAAGCCTCAATTACATGGCCAATGGTGAGGAATTATGGGACTTGTAAAAACCCTCTGAACAACAAAAGATTCTATAAGCCTTCCATAGAATAAATTATGCAACTTGTTGTGGGAATGGATGATCTTTGTATGCTGTTCAAAAGATTTAAGTACTGTTCCTGAACTATCTTAGAAAACCCTTTCAGTATCATTTTTAGCCTTGACTTTTTTTTTTGCTTTGGGATTTATTTATTTGTATTTAGGTCTTGTGTAGAAAAGGGGAATATTCAGGTACCGTATTTTTCGCACCATAAGACGCACTTTTCCCCCCACAAAACGGGGGTGGAAAGTCTGCGTCTTATGGAGCGAAGAAAACAGATTATATTATCCTGTTTTCTTCTCCTAAAAGATTGGTGCATCTTATGGAAAGGTGCATCTTATGGAGCAAAAAATACGGTATATATCTTTGGAAGAGTTAGGAGTACAATTCTAGAATGCTGTTTTTGTCTGTTTTAACCTGCTTGCCTCATTTTTCATTCAAAGATACCCCTCCAGTGAGCTAGTTAAAAAGTATGAGGAGGGATTTCAAACTGCCTTACAACCTGTATCTTAAGAATATTCCTTGAGGACTGCTGTATTCTATATCTTGGCTCTGTTTTCCAGCACGTGAAATAGTCCATCATGGCAAGTGATGCCATCATGGTGATGAGAGGATTGGCAAAGCTCAGCAAGGCAGTCCTGGAGACACAAGCAGGACAACTCCGGCAAGTTGTCCTTGGTAGTGATGTCCCAACTATGGTCAGAAGCTTCCAGGCCAATGCTGAAGAACAATTTAGTGCTGCCATGGGGAAAATGCAGGTAAGAACATTTTAACATGTGTCTATGTCTGGTTTCTTTCCTTCCACCACCTTATCAATATGGTTTCTTAATTTCTGATAGGTTGACATCTTATATGCACTTATTATAAGGGACAGAACATTCCCTCAATGGCAATAGTTCACAATTTCTCTGAGTTGATGTACATTACATTGAAAAATACAAAATATAAATGATAAAAACTACAAAGTACAAGCGATAAAAGCTATCACTAAAGACAGTACGTAATAAAACCAAGGTAACAAAGCAGGATTCAGTACAATTCTATGCATGTTTCCTTAGAAATAAGCCTCACAGCTTTCAGCGGGACTATTTCTCTAGTTAAATATATTGAGATTATGTTGGTGGTTGTTATTCTCTGTATACATCTCTCTTGATGTTGACATATCCGAAACAGTTCTGTTTAACCATATGCAAAAATATTTGCATTCTGAGTCATGTAAAAGTTGTTCAGGATGTACTGATGGATCTTTATGTTGGTGGATCCTTGTATTTGCTGAATATAAATCTCATACCATATTTTCCCGTGTATAAAACCACATTTTTCCTTAAATAATTAGACAAAAATTGAGGGTCGTTTCATACACAGAAGGCAGCCGCTTTTCCCTGCCTTTTGCAAAGCCATGGGGCTCAGCAAAAGGCAAGGGAAAGCGGTGGTCAAAGGGAACCCTTTGATCCCTGCTTTTCCCTTCCTTTTGCTAAGTTCTGTGGCTTAGCAAAAGGAAGGGAAAAGCAGGGATCAAATTTTCTAATTTGGGGTTAGAAAAGGGGGAGGGTCATCTTATACATTGGGTGGTCTTATAAATGGAAAAATACGGTATTTATCATTCCAGAGGCTTTTTCATCAGCTGATATTGTATTACAATAAAAGCAATTAAAGTAATGCCACCAGTTTAAATGAGATGGGCAAGCTACAACTTTTGGTCTACTCTGTGCCCCCCAGCCTGATTCTAAAAAAACTTGTGTAAAGTGTTCCATTCAGATTTCTGCAGCAGTGATTGATCCAGGTAGTTTAGGAGGGAGTGATTAGGCAAGGAGAATAATTAGAAAGGGGAGAGAGAGATTTCTAATACAAATGTGTAATGATACCTGCATTTTAAAAATACGGTATTAATAACCATCCCTATGTATCTGGATTGTTAAATACACATGCACAATACTAGACGTTTTAGATGGTTACTTAAACTTCTGACAACAGAAATGTTTTTGGAATGATATATATTAGATGCACACTCTTCTCAGGGAGTCATGAATGCTATTCTCCATGAAGTATAAACTGAAGAACAAGCTGAAATTAATTACATGAAAGCAGTGGATGTGTGTGTCTTTTAAAAATATAAAGTTCTGATGTGTACTCCAGGCAGATTTGTTCATATCAATGGAATTAGATTGAAAAAATATAACCACCTCTCTCTCCACACCATGGTTCCAGCCCTGGTTCAGTTTTCAGCTGTGGCTATTTAAGTTTTTAAAAAGCTACACGCAATTAATGTAATGTCTAACGTGACTTTCAGTGTCAGAACAAAACTTGCTGTTACTTTGCTATGCCATCAGTATCAGGTCTCATACTGCCTTGTTTTACTTTAGCAATTACTTTGAGAAAGAGGGTGGCTTCATTTTCCACATGTACCATGTCTGTTTAAAAATCTCCAGTGTGTGTTTCCTATTGGAGGCAGCAGGGAGGGCAAAGGGAGGAAGAGATTTCCAGTAAGTTATACTGTGTCCATTGTTCCTCCTGCCAACTTCTGGTACTTCTAAACTTTTCTACACTGATTTTTATTACTATTGGAAGAGAAGTGTTTCCATTGTGTACCATTATAGCAGTACAGCCAATTGAACCAAGAGGTGTTCTCTCTCAATTACTTTTTTCAACTAAAATTATAGAGGACCTACCTCTGTAGTAAGAATGCCAGCTGGCTATGCTTTTTCCAAGTAAAATAATTAGCATTCTGGAAAGATCTGTTAGCTTGGGTAACAAGAGTCTGATATCTGATTTAATATGAAGATTTTGTTTTTCTTTTTTACTTTGGATGAGTAAAAGATTCAAGCCTTTATATAGCATTAGCATTAGTAATGGCATTGAAAACAGCAAGTAGCTAAGAGCTGAACAAATTTTAGGATAACCAAAAGTTAATTTTTAAACGATACTATATTCTGAAAAAATAAATAAAAGCAGTTGCGTTATATATAAAGTCTCCTGACAAGTGGTATTATATGCTTACATTGGTTATTCTAGGAAATATTTCATAATGAAAATTTAAAGCTATAAACTAGTTTTAGTTTTCAGCTCTAATATATCTGTGTAAAATTTAATGCCATTTTACTTGATGAAGTAAACTTATTCTGCAGTGTGTTGGAAAAAATAAATAAAAGCAGTTGCGTTATATATAAAGTCTCCTGACAAGTGGTATTATATGCTTACATTGGTTATTCTAGGAAATATTTCATAATGAAAATTTAAAGCTATAAACTAGTTTTAGTTTTCAGCTCTAATATATCTGTGTAAAATTTAATGCCATTTTACTTGATGAAGTAAACTTATTCTGCAGTGTTTGGGGCCATACTAAATTTAAATGCTGTGGAGAACAATGTCCTTCATTGGAACGGTAATCTAGCAGGCAGATGAATGCGTTTCAACTTAAGAACACCATTCCAAAACCGATTAAGTTCTTAAGTAGAGGTTCCGCTGTAGTTTCTATGGACGGAAAAGAGCAGATACGGATTAAATGGTTTTCAATGCATTCCTATGGGAAATGCAGATTCAACATAAGAACTTTTCAACTTGAGAACCACCTTCCTATACGGATTAAGTTCTTAAGTTGAGACCCCACTGTACTAAATTTAAATGCTGTGGAGAACAATGTCCTTCATTGGAATGGTAGAGTTATCTAGCAGGCAGATGAATAGAGGAGGGAAGCAGAATAAGTTTCATGAAGGTTGACTTGTCTGAAAGAAGCAGTAGTTGTTTGCCCCAATGTTTGGGCTCTGCTTCAGGCAGAAAAATGCCTTGGAGAGATACTGAATAAACTGACTCCCGAAAAAAGTTTCTGTATACAAGGAGAGGGAGTTGGGGATGTGTACTCCAAATGTGTACTGCCTTTCCACTTCTGTGTTCTTGGAATTGCCAGATGATGTCTGGAAAGAACCTATAACTGCATTTGAGTGAATGTGATCACAAAGTTTTATGCAGTCAGAAGTTCTGCCTTACATGTTTCTGATAGCATAGAGCTATGTTTGGATGAGTGCGGTTTCTACAGCTTTTCAAACCTGGGCAACAGAGGGAGGTCAAGAGTAGAATTGGCAAGTCTGGTGCATGGGTTTCCAGGTCCTCTTTATTTCTATAGAGCAGTGGTTCACATCCTTGGGACCTAGGATGTACCTGGATGAAAATTCCTAGGAGCCTTCACCACTTCCTGGCCAAAATTTCTGGGAGTTGTAGTCCAAGAACATCTGGAGACCCAAGACATGGAAGCATTGCTATAGATGCCTGCATTTTGTTCAAGTTTTGCTGTAATTCATATATATTTTGAGAAACAGTTTTTTCAATTTTTGTTTTGCAGGATCTAGGCAAACAGCAAGAAAACCTGAGAGATGTTGGTGAGGACTTTGGAAAACAATATGACTTCTCAGAATCAGAACTGGGAGGAGCTACAGAAGACTTATCCTCTTCTCAAGACCAGCCTCCTAAGCCTAGTGGTGCAGAGGGCCCATCTTACTCTTATGTTGCCAAAGGACCTTTTCCGGATGTTGGTGGGAGTGGAGGTTCCAGTTCGAGTCAGAACCCCATCTCTGCCAAAGTGAATGCAAAGCTCTTTGGAGGCTTTAGGAACCCTGGGATTCCTTATGCTGCTGCCTTTGGGCAAAGCCGGTCTTTTCACCAAGACCATTCCTCTGTTGGTGGATTAACTGCAGAAGATATTGAAAAAGCCAGGCAAGCAAAAGCAGATCCACAGCACAAACCACACAGACAGATGGTATGTAGCCACTCAACAAAAGCAGAATGTTGAGTTTTCTTTTAGAGGCTGTGTCTTTTCCTTTCTCAACTTTCCAGTGCAGTTTCTGTAGTATGCAACTTGTTGCTATCTGTGGAGTAATTAGAATGATATAGACAGTTCCTGGAAGGTTCTGGGAGTTGTAGTTCAAAAGAATAGCTTTTCGAAAACTAGCAGAGTAGCATTTTCCTTTGTTTACAGTTGTCCAGATCTTTGTGGTATGTCTACAACTCAGCTTCAAAATGTGCTGTGAAAGTTGAGTGATATATGTTTGAAGTCTACAGAAAGGCAAGCTGTGCACCCCATGTTGGCTTGAATATGCACTATTACAACTAATTAGTAAATATGCTTAGCAAAGGTGTGGGGAAAGTAATGTTATATTCCTATTCCACAGATGGGGTGACTAAGCAAGTTGCCCAAAGCAGTGGGCCTTGTTACATTGTACTGTTCCTTGGCAAAATCTCAACCTAGTGTATTTCTAGGACTCTTATACCCTGTTTCCCCTAAAATAAGACCTAACCTGAAAAAAGCCCTAGTATGATTTTTCAGGATGCTCTTAATATAAGCCCTACCCCCAAAATAAGCCCCAGTTAAGTGAAACCCCACCCTTCACCATTGTGCAGAAACCAGAAGAACATGGCATGACTGTATTTGAATAAATGTAGATTGCTGTACATGAAAAAAAATAAAATAAAACATCCTCTGAAAAATAAGCCCTAATGCGTTTTTGGAGCAAAATTTAATATAAGACCCTGTCTTAATTTTGGAGAAACACGGTATGCCCTTCTCTTTCATTGTGAAATATAGTACTGTGTAAATTCATCAGCACCTTGTTTATTTGAGTGTGTGTTTCCCTGGAATGTCCTGTCTCCCAAAGAGTCTTTCTCTGTTTTTAAATAGGGAGTGAGGAAGATTTCTTATGTGGATAAATGTGTTAAAGATGGACTATTGATGAACTTTTTCCTTTGAGTGGTATACAGATTATCAAAATGCAGTGGTGCCTCGCTTAACGATGTTAATTGGTTCCAAAAAATCGCTGCTAAGCGATTTCACCTTTAAGCAAAACGCAGTTTCCCATTGAAATGCATTGAAAACTGGATAATCCATTCCAATAGGAACGAATTGCCATCCTTAAGCGAAAATCGCCATAGGAAACATCTTTAAGTGAAACGCAGTTCCCCACTGCCAGCAGTGCAAGAACTTCTTCAGGTCCCTGGTGGACAGCTGTTCCTCCTCTGGCTCTTCTTCCTGCTCCTCCATAACCTCGGCCTGCATCTCGACCAGCTCCTGGGTGGACAGTTCCTGGTCGTGGCCCTCCACCAGTTCAGAAATGTCCTCCTCTGTGACCTCGAAGCCCATGTTCCTCCCCAAGGCCACAATGTCCTGCATCACTGTGGACTCTGGTGCAGGTGCAGAAACACCAGTAGCCACACAGTCTGGCCAGAGCGGGCGCCACGCAGAGTTCAAGTTCCTCTGGCTGATGCCGTCCCAGGCCTTGGCAATCATCTTGAGGCAGCCGACAGTGTCAAAGTGCTCCTTCCAAAATTCATGGAGGGTGAGGTCGGTCATCTTGAAGCACTGCCGGAAAAGCTCCTTCGTGTAGCTCTTCTTGAAGTTGTCAATGACCTGCTGATCCATCGGCTGGAGTACTGGGGTGGTGTTTGTGACAACCCCAGACCTACTGGGAGATGCCACAGTTTAACTAAGCTGCCACCAACCATTCCCTGTAAGGAGTCACACAGACCAGGAATGGATTTTTAAACAAACAAAGGAATAAGGTTTATTTAACTAACACACAGGGAAAATAAAATGATCAAGTGAATAAGATACAGTAACGTGGCTTAGTCTCAATCATACATACACTAGTTTGGTTCACACAGAACG